AATATTCGACTAATATGATAAATTCATGGACATATTTCATATTCTGCTGACCAAACAGGCAAAAAAAGGCAGCTTAATTCTTTTGACTTTAAAAAAAGAAAATTTGATGAACGTTCTGGTACCAAATACTTTGCGTCACACCAAGGCACACATAACGAAATATCTTGTGGTTTGTAAAAGATTTATCTACTTTTAAAGGCGATGGTAAAAGGTTTATAAAAACCGTATTTATGGTAAAATTTGCAATTTTAGACTTTTATATGAAAGAACAAGGATAAGGAATGTAGTAAAATATACCATCATTTCCTTTCATTAATTACGCAAAACAAAAATGGGATTAAAAAACTTACATACAATTTGCTCTAAAAAACCGACACGAACAATGTGACTTTTTAAGCAAGTTTAAGCGGGCATTTTATTATAAAAAAATATATTTCTTTTAAAATCATAATCTCTGTGCTTTCTTTTTTTATAACTCGTAATTTAAAATTTACTATGTTGATTTTTACAAAATAGGATTTTGTCCGCGATTTTTGAAATTCCTCCCAGTGTGCGGCTGACAGCCGAATGCGTTAAGACGTTAGCTTGACAAACTTGTCAAGTGACAGACCTGAGTTCAATCCCAGGCTGGGTAAAAACTTTTTTTAAATTTAAATTTACTAATTTGACTATTTCATTCAGTGGAATTTGACTAATTATTAGTGACTGCTTTTTCACTATGACAATTAGTCAAATATGACTTATAATTAGTTATTTTTGACTAATTCATTTTAAGAGAGTAGTTACGTTGATGGCTTGCCACTTAATTTACGGTGTAATATGTTGAAATGGTCACAGCGCTTGTTTAAAACCAAAGTTTTTGATATTCTATTTATGGAGCAGCAATGACACTTTTAATATTTATTTAATGTCTATTTGGGTTTATTTTTAATTATTACAAACTTGGTATTTGTACTTAGCATAATTGTTTTTTTTGTTGTTATATACAGGGTGTTATGTAATTAATGTTATGTATTAAAATACTGAATACCTTTTGCCATAAGGAGTAAAGGAAAAATATTTAAAAAAATATTTTTCCAAAGATAAAGAAAAAATAGGCATTAGAAGTTTTTTTGTATTTTTTGTGATACGCCACTGGTTACACACTTGGTTTATCTCTGCACACTTGTGTTCTGTGAGTACATAGATACCAACCAACAAAGTTGCTGCGCGTTGCCAGATGTAAAAAATTGTTACTAAAAATTTTTTGCAAGAAAAAATAAATAAAAACTCAATAAATACGTTTTATGCTCTTAAAGCTCTAATACCCTTCTTTATTTATTTACTCATCCAGCTATTAGCTTAAGCAATGATTAGATAATGAATTTAGTACCTATTTGATTGTTTCGACCTTTACTTGATGAAACTCCATATTATTATTATTATGTAGATATAAAAACAAATATGTTTTGAAAGTTTCACGTGTTTTATTTACTTATGACAATTGTTTCGTCACACAGTGACTTCTTCAGAAGAAGTCACTGTGTGACGAAACAATTGTCATAAGTAAATAAAACACGTGAAACTTTCAAAACATATTTGTTTTTATATCTACATAATAATAATTTAGTACCTATTTTAAAAAATCCATAACCACAAAATTAATTTTTTCCTTGATTTATTTCTTTCTGTTTACTCAGGTGAAATTGGAAACAGTTCACAGGTTAAACTTTAAACATTTAATTTGTGTAAATAAATCCAAAAGCACTTCCCTTAGTTAAAATATTTACAATTTGAGCACATAACCTAAAATTTGAAAGAAATGCACTAGATTCTGTCATAAAAGTTGGCAGATTTAGTTTTAATTTACCTTCAGTACAAAAATGGCATAACCAACAATTAATAAAAACGCCAAATTGACAATTTGCATTGTTAATTTTATCATTTTTGTAATTAAGCTAAATTTAAACAATGTTTGTCAACATTTTTGACAGAATTTGGAAACGCTGTTGTTACCAACCAGGGTAACCAACCATAACATAATAAATTAAATTAGGCAACCAGATTACCCTAAAGTTCCTAGTCGATCAGTGGCGTACTTTTTGGTAGGATAAAGCTTTATCCTAGGTTATTATAAATTATTTTTAGTCTTTAAATTTAGAAAAAAAAAGTTTCAGGTGCTTCTTTATGGACCCTAAGGAACAACCCATTTTAATATATAACATTAATTTCATATAGCTATTATTTTAATAATATTGTAGCCGGTATAGCTGATATTTTTTGGTTAAATGTAAGAATGAATTTTTACATTTTTAATGTTTAAATTCAAATTTCGCCATTTGGAATAGTGTATTTCCTTATTTCAATAAAGAGGTTTATTAATATTATTATTATTATTAATATTTCACGTCCAAAATAGAGACGCTACTAATTTCCTAGCGGCGACGTGCGAAATATTAACTCGAAAATTCCACACCTGTAATTTTTAACCAATCAAAACCTGTATTTTTGACAGATCACCATGGCAACTGATGAATTTTAGTGAACATTTTTTCCTCGTGGGTACCCAATAGCGAATTATACTGGAAATTTTTTGACGTTTATAATGACAGAATATTTTTTTGACAATCTGGTTTTTATTTGTTTACATGATAACTTTGATACGTCTCAATTATAATTTGATGATTGACGCTTGCTGATGCTGCACACTGGTTATGAATTTCATACTAATAAAGCGCTTATGAAAAGTTAATAAAAACGCAAAAAGCAGTTTTCTACCACTTGTAGTTACTCAAAACTTATGTAAAATTAAAGAATATACTGTGTTGAGTTTTTTCGTGCAACTACAACCAGTAGAAATCAACATGCAGGGTTCCGAAAAACCTTTTAAATTATGATTTTCTCTCACTTGTAGTAAGAGCAAGTAACTATAAAATGAAAGAATATAATATTTTAGGTCCTAAAATGGCACTTTTGGGCTACTACAATCAGTAGAAATCAACAATTTGTTCATGTATGTTTCTATAGAACTAATAAAATTTTTATTTTCTACCACGTGTAATATGTTTTATTAAAAAATTACCGTGTAACTACAAGTAAACATCAATATGTCATAGGGCAGGCTGAGAAGCACATTAAAGTTAATAAAATTCTAACTTTGGAAATCGAAAAATAAATTTTAATTATTTAAACCACGGCGTTCTCTAGAGAACGCCGTGTTTAAACACAATTTGGTGTGGAATTTTCTTACCGAATACCACACGAGGTCAAATTAAATCCGGAAATTTGTTCTCGCTCATGAATATTTTTAGAAAATAAATTCAAAAATATTCATGAGCCCGAAAAAATTTCCGGAAAAAAATTTGACCTCTAGTGGTTACTAGTGAACATTTTTAAATATCTAACCGGTAGCATGAATCCCCAGTGCCATAACATTGAAATGAATAAGGCCTTGGCTTTATCAATATGAAAGCAATAAGTTCGAGTTTCGAAAAAAAGTGTTAAAAAAAGTATAAATTTATTTTTGGCGATAAATTGAAAAGTAAAAACTTTGAACATGTTAATAGAAACGATTACTTTTAAGAAATGGCAAATGAACGAAAAATAGGTAATACTAAGAGTAATAAAAAAATTTTCGTATATTTTAAGGTGTGATATGGGTATATTTTTTATATTGGGCCAAAAAGGGAAAAATATCCCAAAAAAAATAAGTTCTTGAAACCTTAAGGCAAACTGAATTTTATGATTCCTTGAATAGTCTAGTGCACTGTTTTTATATGGGATTCTACAAATTTGGTCAACTTTTTTGCTAGTGAATAATATTTAATGATAATAACTTATTTCTGTCCTTTCAGCAACACATTCGTTAAATTGAACAAACATATTTATATTCACATTAGAAGTGGTGTTTTTTATATAATTAGTTAGATATACGCATCTAGAAAACCAAAAATATAAGGTTTTATAAATATTTAAATAGATTATTTTATAACATGGTTGTAGGTTGTTTATAAGCGCAGAATCTTTAATATTACAGGTTAACTTACTTATTTGTATAGAAATATTTAATAAACGACCGTAAGATATGATAATTTTATAACTTTAGAGCATGATGAATAATAAATATGCAAGTAGCTATAGCATTTTATTTTTCTTTAAGGTTCACAAATTTACGAGTTGCAGACGGGGACAATTTATTGCAGATTGAAATTTTAAAAATAATAAACAGCCTAATCAGTTTATCTATTAATACATTTATAAAAGAAAGATGTAACTTGTATTGACCGATGAGTCATGTCTATGTCCTTGTTTTCTTAAATCCTTGGCCGATTTAAGGAAATGGTTTACGTCTTCTTCGGGGGAATTATTTTCACATCGTATTTTTTCTTAAAAATGCTGCTTCTTTTTAATTTGATATCCCTAAATATCAAAACGTTTCCTTACATAAGTACGGTACAAATGGTAAATCAAATAAAAATAACAAAAAGAAACAATCGTTTCGATTAGGTAAACAGTTTTGTTAAAGCACCCAAAAACTTATTCCTGTATAATAAAATTAATTGTATGGGTACTCAAACAAACAAAAATTTCGCAGCTAATCGTTAGCAATCAAACATAACAAGCCAAGTTGCAGTTATTGTGCTATAAGGACAGCAATATTGTTGATTTTGCCCGATAAAAAAATATACCCATATAGCGAATATGCGCAGCACAAGTATTATTCGCAACCACAAAAAGTATTCGGTAGGTATATCACACCTCAAAATATTCGACATATAATTTTAATTACGAGTGGTATTTTCAGGACAATTTTATTAAACCAAGTTTTAAAAAATCCATATTAAAAAGCTTCTAAATCAAGTTGTCCAAAATTTTCACCCCTTATTTACTATCAATTTTTGACCAATCAAAAGTAATTGTTGCGAATATTGCACTAATACAAATTGAAAGATGGGACATCCTGTATATATTTTTTAGTCTTTGCAAATCGAAAAGTATATAAATTGAAAAAGTTTTCTTACTTTATACTTATCCACTAAAATCCAGAACTGAGAGGGGTTAAACAATTCCCATATCACACGTGTATATCCGTTGTAAATAGATTTAAAAAAAGAAATTCCCGTGGAAATTGAATAAAATGTGAGATAATCCAGCGTTACAATATTTGCCGTTTTACTCGAAATATATTGAACGAGATCCAAATCGGCATTGTCATACGAATTTTCTAAAAACATATAAGCTAGCATGGAAAAATGATTTATACATACAGCTTTGGGAGCTCCAGTGGTGCCGCTAGTAAAAAATATAATGGCGGTGTCTTTGATATTTTCTATTTCGATTGGCTTAAAGCTGTTTTCATTTGGTTGAGTTTTTATTATATCACTAAAATTTGTTTCTCCTTCGTATTCCCCAAACACAATAACCCTTGAGTTGTTATATTGTTCTTTTAAAAAAACCACGTACTCTGGAGTGGTAAAAATTACTTTGGGTTCTAAAAGTTCAAGAAGTGTCTTTTTATTGTCCTCCAAGTCTGGATTTGAAAGACAAACTGGTATGGCACCGATAAAATGGCTTGATATATATGGTATACAGCTATTCAAATGATTCCGTCCATATAGACATACGATGTCATCTTTTTTTATTCCAATTTTTTGCAAGTACAAGGCTGTTCGTATGGATCTTTCAAGTAAGGATTTGTATGTGTCTCTCTCGTCAGTACTGCTGAGAATCTAAAAAAAATTACTTTATTTATTTAAAAGGTACCAACTTCTACAAAAACCGGTTACAACCATGAAACACGTGAAGCATTATGTTATCCACAATTCATATATTACAAAAGTATAATTATGCTGATTTGTGACCCATTATGAAGGTTACACATAGTAAAAACATATTTCTTTAGTTTAACCAAGTATTAACCAGATTTTATGTTAATCCAGGTCCACATAACTTTCAGTAAAAGAGGGGGCTCTATTATATTTACAAATTCAAATTATCACACTTTAGACTTAAGGGGTATTGCCATTGACAATAAACATTCTCCTTACTTAGGTTGACATTTTGTCAACCTAAGTAAGGAGAATGTTTAAGAATGCGCTGCGGTAGAAATTAAATTAAACGTATATTTGTGTTTATAATATATATCTTACAGGGGCTTCTGATGTAATTATATTTTTTGAAAAGCTTGAAGAGGCCAATGATATTGCATGCAGCAACAAAAAATATTCAAAAATTCTTGTTTCGGGGGGGCTAAATATAGATAACCTTATTGATTATCCGGTTAGAACAAAATTAAATAAAATAACAAATTCTTACAATCTAAAAAGTGCATTTCACGAACCTAATCGTATAAAAATCTGAGTCCACTGGCATTGATTATATTTTTTCAAATTTCAATGGTGAAATTAAAAAAAGTATTAAGAAAAACGGATTATCTGACCATACAGCTGAAAAGGTAATCTTTGATATAAGTAGTGAAAAACCATTTAAAGGCCTTTTTCATATAAAAATACAAAAAACTTTATAAATGCATTGGAAAGCGAGGGATGGGATGACGTTTTTGTTAGAGAAAAAAAAGTAGATATTTATTTTCCTTTATAAACATTTTACTTCTTCATTTTAAAACATGTTTTCCCTTAAAAACTAAAATTATAAAAACTTCAAAATAGTAAATAAAAACTGGCTCACACCTGGTATAAGAATATCAGCGAAAAACCTAAAAAAAAAAATTTATACAACAAAAAAACTGTGAAATAAATCCTTTAAGGATGTGGCGGCTAGTGGATTTTGGGCACACCCATATTTCAGTTATTAGACATGGGACCCACATCGAATTCATATGAGTGTATAATGACATTATATAGACAAGTTCTGCGCAAGCAGAATTCAAATTGAAGTTTGCGAAAAAAAGTTAGTTTTTAAGTGTGCCCCCCAGCCTCCTGCCCCCCAAATTAAGATAATTCAAATTAAAGTGGTACAATATTTAATTCACTGAAGTTTATCGACAAAGTATTACAGATTTTATACCATTTCTAATTTTTTTAAATTTAGTAAAAGAAATAATAAAAAATTTAAAATGGTATAAAACCTGTAATTCTTAAATTTTTTTAATAAAATTTGAAATTTGTTAATAAACTTCAGTGAATTAAATATTGTACCACTTTAATTTAAATTATCTTAATTTGGGGGGGCAGGAGGCTGGGGGGGGGGTTACACTTAAAAACTAACTTTTTTTCGCAAACTTCAATTTAAATTCTGCTTGCGCAGAACTTGTCTATATAATGTCATTGTAAACTCATATAAATTTGATGTGGGTCCCATGTCTAATTACTGAGATATGGGTCTGCCCAAAATCCACCAGCCGCCTTTACTATTTTAAAACTTAATAAGTTATATTATAAACAAATTTAATTTAATTTATTTAAGTTAGATTATAAACAAATTTATTATCGGGTGATTAGACAAGCAAAACAAAGCTACTATCATAAATTCAAACAATAAAACAAAGGCCGTTTGGAAGGTTAACAACACTACTGTCAAAAGTAAACCAAAAAAAATCAAAAAAGGCGTCAATAAAAAATTCAACCTTTCTTGAGCCAGTACTTGAACCCGAACTACTAAATACAATTCGAAAACTAAAAAATTCGAACTCATGTGGTATTAATAATTTTCCAATATTCTTACTAAAAAAATGCGCGAAGGAAATATCCAAACCTCTCTGTTACCTAATTACCTAATATGTGCTTTACAAAAGGCTGCTATCCAAGATGTCTTAAAACCTCAAAAGTAGTTTGCATTCTAAATAAAGGTGATCCTAAATCAATTAGTAACTGTTCATCTTTTCCAAAGTTATTGAAAAATTAATAGTCATGCATTCTATCAAATTTTTAAATCAAAACAATATACTTTCCGATAAACAACACGGGTTTAGCCAAGGCAAAAAACAAAAAATGCGGAATTCGTGGAGTTTGCAAACAACAGTTGTTACTTATACTTTCTTCCTTAAGACACGGAAAACAACTAGTTTCTTTTTTTGGCACGTTATCAGATGATAAAGAAATAGACACAGAAGTAGCGCAAGGCAGCGTTATGGGGCCTGTTATATTCTTAATATACTGTAATGATTTGAGATATTATCCAACTTTCACTGTTATTTTGCCGATGATACTACGGCTATAATCGCAAACAAAGATAACATTTACACATCAAGGCAACTTAATGAAAATCTAAATATTGCAGCGCAATACTTTGCCTACAATAATCTGGTACTAAACCAAGAAAAAACTGTTTTGATGGAATTTTATCCGCGGAATGCCATGGAATGCCATATGTGTAGCCCCTTAATAAAACTCAACGAAAAATCTATCCAACGAGTAACTATTTCAAAATTGCGCTTGCTTTTAAAGATAACGTGGACTACATTAGCAAAAAATGTGCAACCACATTTAAATAGATTCTCTTGCCTAAATCGACTACAGAGGCGATCAATCTTGATGATAAAGCAGGTAGTGGAGGGAATGGAGAAGGGCGAGCTGAAGGCCGCAATAATGTACGACCTGAAAAAAGCGTTCGACTGTGTTCCTTTCAAGCAACTTCTTGATGAGTTAAAACATTATAATTTCAATAAAAATAACGTACAAATGATTCGATTCTACCTTACGGACCTTATGCAATATGTACAATGTACATGTCCAGGGAAAATCATCGGAGGTCAGGGGGGTCAGACATGGGGTTCCGCAGGGTTCGGTGCTTGGGCCCATCCTTTTTCTCTATATAAATGATCTGAAGAGGGCTGTGCTCGGTGCTTACCTTGTCTTATTCGCTGACGATACCACGGTTCTCTTACGATCAAAAACCCTGCAGGAAATTAAAGTATCCCAGAGCACATATGAACAAAATATTACGTCTTGGTTCTCTGCAAAAAACTTCATCTCAAAACTGCAAAAACTAACAATATAGTATTTACCCATAAAAGAGATGAAAGCCTGACTAAGTACAACGCTACAGAGCCTAAATTCCTAGAGGTGGTTCTTGACCCTTTATTAAGGTGGAACTTACATGTAGACTATCATAATGTACCTGATATCAGCTAAATACATTTTTCTATTTAGAAACATTGTAGATATTCTACCTTTTTCGGTAACTATTTCAGCATATCAGTTTTTATATCTAAAATTCGCTATGCGATTACATGCTGGGGACATAGTTGCCATATATACAGGTTGTTTGATCTACAACGCAAAATAATCAGAATAATTCTTAAATTAAAATACCAAGAAGATGTTACTAATAAATTCAAAGAGTTAAAACTCTTAACATTACCCAGCTTGTATATTTTAGAGAGTACTTGCGAGGCTCTTGTAAACAAGGCTGCTTATAAAATAAATTCCGAAATCCATAGCCACGATACCCGCAATAAAAACAGAATATGCCTGGAATTCCTACGTCTTTCTTCTAGCAGATTTAGCTGAAATTATTATGGACCTAAAAAAATTCCAGTTGACATGCACTTGTTCCCACTAAAGAAATTTAAAATCAAGATAAAATACTTTTCGGTTAATAAAGCATATTATGATATAAATAGTTATTTAAACGATGTAATTAATATTAGTTGATCAAGTTTGTTTTGTTATTATATAAATATCTTATCATTGTATTAATTACCATTTTTAGTATTTGTTATTATTATGTAATATCTGTGATTGACGAATGTTAGAAAACCTAGTTTTTTAAGCAAATAAATATTATCCTATCATAAATATTACCGAAATGTAAACCACGATTATAGTACTAGACACGGAAATACTCCGCGTTATCCAAAGCACTACTTAACATTATATGAAAAAAGCCCTTTTTATTCTGGAGCTAAGCTTTATAACAAATTACCAGCTTGTATCAGAGATTTGCCTTTCAAGAATTATATGAGAAAAATTAAGTTTATACTGACAACAGAAGCTCGATTGATGAATATAAATCATTCAATTTTAATAAATACATCCAAATTGAACTTCTTTAAATACAGGGTTCCCACGAACTTTCCATTAATTTTTTCCAAGTTTTTTGTAAACTCGCTATATTAATAGTAAAAAATCGCCACCTGCAAAAATTAAGTAAGTGTTTAGGTAAATATTTTTTCTTTTATAATAAAAACTGGTTTCAGAATGTATGAAAATTTGATTTTTTTATTATTACCTTGTATTTATCTACCCTTAAGGGAAAAATACAAGGATAATAATCCTAGGCCTCAAAAAAAATTAAATTTGAAGAATACAGAAACATTAAAAATAGGCAGGATTTTGCACCACTTTACCCCTTTATTTGAGAAGTTGGATTTATGCAGAACAAATATCAACACCAAGTTAACATCATCATTAAGATCAACATTATCATTAAGAAGTTAAATGAACGTAATTCATTGGAAGCTTTTATTTAACACATTAACATTAACTTTAACATTAAGTTCTTAAAGAGATGGCCAACTTTTAACTTCTTAATGATATGTTAATTTTTATTCCTCCAGCGCAGGTTGCGGCGCAATTTTTAAATAAACCGTGTCAATAATGCCAACACCCGAAAATAAAATGAAACGTGCTGCTGAATGATTCATTTTTTATTCATTGATTGTGTTCTTTGGCTTATTGCTTACGTGCAGTTTATAGCACAGTGGTTATTGTTTTGACACTAAATTTGTTATTTCTGCATAACTTCTTGTTCCTTTATCTTTGGATACCAAACTTATTTTTAATAAAGCTTTCATAATTTTTCTAAATACTGACCAAGCAAATGATAATTTAGTGAATCTGCGGACAAGTAGTATTTCAACGCTTTATACGGACCTTCAAAAAGTTATTAAGCATTGATAATTAATTCATTTAGATTAAAATTCTTTTTAGGTTAATTTAAGCCCCCCGAAACTCGGGGGCAGGCCCTGCTGCCCCTCAGCTACGCCACTGATGTTTTACCAGTAGGTATTTTAATTATTTATCCGTTAGTATAATCGTAATAACGTACATATAATTTTTTTTAAATAACAACTTGAACTGCTTGAAAAAAACTGACTGGAGATAAAATAAAAAAGGAAGCTGCAAAATTTCACAAAAAATATTATTAAGCCTGGTTCACTATTATTAGCCAAAACTAACAAAATTTTAAAAAAATTGACCGAAGTTAACCAATTTTTGTAGAAGCCTCCATTAATTTTTTTTAATACATCAGGGCAAAAACACTCCTTACATATATTTACCTGAGCCAATTTGTTTTGATTAGCATGCTTCTTAAGACAATGATAATATAGATATCCCAATCCAGGCACATCGATTTTCTTTTTAAAATCTTCACCCCTTATAATGTTTTCGCCCATTTTAAATTATAGTTAAAAATATACTGTTTATGAATATTCTTAAATTTCAAATGTATATGTACCTACCAATTAGGCACGTATATTTAATCTATTAAAAAAACATATATTAAAACCTGTACGTGAAATTGTAATTTAATTACTCAAAGCATGCAATTATCTCGAATTTGCATGGAAATACTTTAAATTGTTTTTAATGACATTATTTTTTTACAAACATATATAACTTAATTTTTTATGATGCTAAAGAAAACCTTTGATACGCCATAACAATAAGACCGTATTCTTTATTCTTGTAAAAAGGTCGAGGCCTGGCTTTGAGGACAAAAAGATCGACTCAACCAAAATTAAATGTTTTTCTGTGTAAAATTGTTGACCTTTTTAAAACGTATATGCCTATTTTATTTATAATTAAGGACCCTAGAAGCGAAGGGGTATTTATACCCCTAAACCTTACTAGCCAAGGGATACAAGTGACATTTAAAAAAAAATGTAGTTATGTACAGAAAAAGATAGTAAATGGTACATTTTACTTGGTATCCAAGGGATATAACTGAATTCTAAGCTTAGACATGTTGAAAAACCAAGTCATAAAACAACAAACAATTTTGACTCCAATTTACAAGTGTTTTTTTTACTTTAAACCTGATTATCTCAAAACTAAACAAAATGTACTTATACGTACAGTAGCAATAAATTATCTAGAGAATTCATCAGTAATCCATTTTTCTGTTATAAAAAATGGGTGATCCCATTGGTAGAGATGCGTCAGGCGGCTGTATGTCGGGGATTTACCACACGTGTACAAATTTTCCATAATATTAATAAAAATGTAAGTTAATATAACCATTACCCTTGAAAATAAAAAGTAAATCAAGTGTGTATGTATTTATATTATTAATGTTACAAGTACCCGACCTACTGCCGTAAATTATTGATATATAATATAGGTTGGGTATGGTCATCCTTTTAACATATTGGTATTTATTGAGTATTAAGGCTTAAAAGAAAAGGAAATATAATACTTACCAAAAAATAAGAATGTCCCCTTATGGATTCACCGTAATTAAAATCTAACTGAACAAAAATTCCACAACGCGGTATACCTCCGGATATGCACTGCGTAGGTAGATAGTGTAGCGAGTACGGCTCTGGATCTCGGAATGATGACTCATCGGTGAGTCAGCGATCGAGAGCTGTGTGGAGCTCGCTGGAATATTCGAGAAAGTGCTTGCGTTACGTGGTCACGTAGGCACTGACTATATAAGGAACATCGGAGCCAGGAGCAGTTAGTCAAGCTTTGGTACTCGCGACGAAATAAATAAATATACGTGCAAATAAAAAGACTCTTGTACAGTAGTGATATAAATAATTAGTAGTTAAGTGTTTAGTTAGTTTTATAGTTATAGATTTTAAGTGTAATTAAGTTATAAAATAAATAGTTTAGTTCGTTAATAAACCAGTGCCTGTTTTAATTCACACTACGAACAGATAGTTAAAAACGTTACAATAGGTACCAACCAAACATTTTAAAACGCATTTCGGTTATTACCAGTTTTTTTCAGTCTATTTTGCCACTATTGGTGTAATTTGTGATACAATGTGCATTAGTAGTGTAAACAGGGCCGAGCCTAGGGTATCTGCCGCCCGGGTGCAAGAATTAAATTTGCCGCCCCCATTAATGTAAAAAATTAGGTTGTCGGTAGGGAAGGAGTTCATAATTTATCATTCTCAATAAACATATAACAAATTTTATAGTAAAATAACAAAGTATTTATTAACAAATACATAAAAGAATAAAATAAAAATACATTTAGGAAAAAAAACAAAAATAATTAAACTAAACTAAAAAACTAAAATCTACTTTTCTTGCTTTTTTTAATAGCAAATTCCCTAATCAAGTCGCCTACATACAAGTTGTTAGAAATATCTTCTTCAATACTTATAATTGCTAAATTTGAAAGCCTGAATAATTCAATTATTGACTCATATTGGATCTTAAATAGGTCTTAATTAGTTTTAATTTCAAAAATGACCGCTCTCCATGGGCAACAGTAACTGGCATCGTCAAAAATATTCTTAAAGCTACAAATAAATTTGAAAAGATGCCCTTTAAATCATTAACTAGTTTTTAACTTAAACGCATTAAAAGACAAAAGAAACTACTATGTTTGCATCCTATTTGCCTCACGTTAATAGAAAAACTAAAAATTGCTGAAATACGCAGCCGTCAAATCGGAAAAAATTATGCTTTAACTTAACAGTTCAACTTGTAAACAATATCACGTCGTACACAGCGCCCGATTTGATTGGTTTCCCGTAAGCCCGCTTCCGTAAAACATGAAACTTGACGAACTCGAAGCGGACGGACGGAAAGCGAAGCGGGCGGGCGGCAATCTATAAACCGGGCTTTAAGAAAATTGTCATCATCATTTTTTGTGGCTATCGCGCGTTCGTTTATGTCTTTTTTATCATTGCCGCCTGACAGCACAATTTTGGTATTGTTTTTATGTGTAGAATAAAAACGATGATTCCTTGAAACGCCGACATCAATAAAACGCAACTGATTTTTAGAAAGTTTTTTGCATATTGCAAGGTGGCTTTTTTATTCTTGATAATTTGATACAATTTTTTTGATGATATTTTGCCGCCCTGTGTTAGTGCCGCCCGGGTGCCATGCACCCCTTGCACCCCCGGCCCGGCTCGGCCCTGAGTGTAAAGAAAAAAGAGCTCTTAGTAACATCAAAACAGACAAATTGGCATGCATGTAGTGTACATTTTGTCACTATTTAACACATTAAAAGGTAATAAACACTCGCATTAAGTTTTTCTACCCTTTTGATTTATTTTAATAATAGTGTGAATGTACCAATGAATAATGTTCATATTCGTTAAATGTGTTTAATAAAGTTAATAAGCACTAAATGCTACCTAGTGTATTTTGTAGTGTAACTTTTACACTTACAAATCAACTCTAATATTTTTACCCCTACACTAAAAAATTTACACGGGCAAAATTTTTTACTGTGTGACAAGACAGGAACCTTAGCTTCTCGCCTATTCAAAAAAAAATCTATTTCGATTTCATTAGCTAATTATTTTTTTGCTGAAGAATTCAACGTCATTGATGCATTATTCTTAAATCAAAGTACACCAATTTCATTTCAGCAAATGGACGATGACGATTAAAATAAGGCATTGCTTGCTGGTCATTCGCTAAGAAATGGCAGATTAATTCTGAGAGTGATTTTTTAAAGCTTGTTCCAAAAAATTTTTGAAATTTTATCGAAAAGAATTCAAAATAGTTTTAATTTAGTAGTTAGTCAAAAGTTTTAACGACTTGCATTCAAGATAATTTGCAAAAATCGTTGTCAACTTTCAAGCGTATTCAGAAAAGTTTAAGAAAACCAGAAATAATATTACAACTGATTTATTAAAATCCATTGTGCAATTGAATCCTGATTTCTTTAGAAATGAACCGAAATGTTTGCAAATTTTCTTTGATTCATGTAAAAAATGTTTGTTACATGTTTGTTACATTTTGACTGCTCCTGTTACATCACCTTGTGAACGTTCTTTTAGTAAATTAAAAACAGTTTTTGATTATTTGCGCACGAGAATGGGGGATGATCGTTTAAATTCAATGATGCAGCTTTTTTCATCAAAGGATAAGGTAGTCAAAATTGACATTCGTGAAGTGGTTAAAACACCGCAGGGTAAAAATCAGACCTTGAAAAATTATTGTTATTGTTATTTGCTAACATGCATTTGTAATTTGTTAATTTTATTTTGTAAAATTTTAACATAATTTTTTGTGGAAAACCTGGGTTTGTAATTATTTTAAGAAAGTAAAATATTTTACCGAAAGTTTTGTAAAGGTAATATTCAATTTTGTAAGCATTATGTTAATTTCAAAGGTAACAGATTATTTTGCTAATATTTAACAAATTATTTCATTAAAAAAGTACAATTGATTTCAAGCAGTCAATCAAAACATTTCCCACTGACAAGTTCAACTAACTTTAGCGACTGCAACTTCTGCTTACTTTATTCTAATTCGTAACGTGTTCGTAACAACTGTCCAGAGTGTTTATAAAATATAACCAGAAATCTGTTATTCACAGTAAAAAATATTTGTTATTTTTAACCAAATGTTAACTAGATTTTATGTTAATCCAGGTCTACATAACTTTATGTTAAGTTTATAACCAACTGTAATCTGTTAACTAATTGAAAAAGTAGTTATATAACAAACATTTTGTAGATTTAATAACAAAATCCTATGTCAATAATTTAACCTTAATTTTTGTAATTTTGTAATTTTAAAAACCTTTTTGTAGACCCAGTAACAAAAGTATTTTTTGGAAATTCGAAACCTAAATGAAAATAATTTCGATAAGAAATGTTTTTTTAATCAACTGATGAATGATGTGTTTTTTAATTGTGTGTATGTTATTTTTGTGTTCATTTATGTAGGTATGTGATAATTTTTTTGTTTAGGAAATTGATTAATAAAGCAACATTTCTTATCAAAATTCTTTTTATTTTAGTTCCCAATACGTACTTTTGTTGCTGGGTCTTAAATCTACAAAATGTGTGTTATAATTATAATCTACTTATTTAATTAGTTAACAGATTACAGTTGGTTGTAAACTTAACATAAAATTATGTCGACCTGGATTAGCCTAAAATCTGGTTAATATTTGGTTAAAATTAACAAATATTTTTTACTGTGTACTTATTTTGGTCCAAACGGGTTTTTTACTGACTAGGAGGTAATAAATCACTTTAGTGTTTACAATAATAAAGTTTAAATTATAGAACGCTTAAAGATAAAAAAGTATAAGGTTTAGATGAAATAAAACACGCAGCATACTTTAATATATATTTATTTTACGTATCCACAGTTTATTGTTTTAGTACAATGAAAACATTGATATATATTTCCTTAATCTTTCTAAACCCAACCCAGCGAACCCAGACAACCCGCAAAATAACCTAACGTTAACCTTAATCAAAAATTGTTCTAAATGCAGTCCTTAAATACAACGGAATGTCTTGATCCGATGGATG